TACAGTATAATAAAAATAACATTAAAATTAAATATTTTTTTCAAACTTCGTCGCATTTTATCCTAACTTAGTGGCTCTCTTTATTAACTTGCAGTTCCATTTTTTCTGACAAAATAGTATGTGTTAGAAAAAATAAGTCTTAATTTATATTCGAATGTATTTTTTATATTATAAACATCACCAAGAGAATCGCTAGATTTTTCGAGCATGTACAAGACGGACAATTAACAACTATAATATTAATATTAAATAGATACACATAAAAGTATTAAAATTATATGTACAAATAACTGAAAAAAATTTAATTTCCTAAATACTATTTTTAATTTGAAAATTATAAACAAAACCAACTTTATTCGATTTATTATTTATAAGCATCAAAATTGAGTTTGTTTTACCATGTTTTATAAAAATAATAATATTGTGTGATGTAATAAAAAACTTGTAGTTGAAAAATAATGTTCTAATATGTTACCAGTATCTGGTTGTGAGGGCTGGCGCTGCGTGCAGCACGCCGAGGGCGAAGCCGGAAGGCCCCAATAGTTCATGTGTGTGTGTGCGTGTGTGTGCATGGGTGTGTGGATGTATGTGTTTACGTTTGATAAAATGTATGATTTCAATTAATGACATAATTTAAACGAATATTAGAGCCGTTTTAAAACTGCTTTTTATAATTATAGGAGTTTAGTAGACTAGATTTTTTGAAGAACTTTATCACATTAAGAAATATGAAACTACGTTCATAAGGATTTTTGTCAGTACATATGCTATATACACTGTTATACCTGCAATTCACTTATCAAAAGTGTATATTCTGATTTTTTTTTAAATGATCATCTAAGATTTAGAAAAATACCGCATAAAAAATTAATATGGAATTTCACGGTGAAAATTTGAATTTAGAGTATTATTTGGCAGTACTTAGCTCAAAACTGAGAAATTTACGGTAAGAAGAGAACCTGTATGTAAATTAATACTTACTCTAAAGCAAATGTATTGAAGAAAGTTATATTTGAAATTTGTAAAAAAAAGGATATTCCTATAAAATGAGGAAAAACTGTAAATTATCGTTATTTTATTATTATTTTTTTTATTGCATGCATAAAGTGCAACTGCTGTTTTGCGCCCTTAGGCCACATTTTGCGCTTTTGTAATCACTTTAGGCCCACGGGTGGAAAAATTTTTTGTGCCCTCCCGATACAAAGTGCTTTTTTTGCCTTAGGGTCCAAAGCGATTTACTAGGCGCAAAGTGTGCTCACTGGCATAAAATTACTCTTTGCGCTATCGGTAAGAAAAACATTATACGCGATTCGGGCACCAACATACAACAAGCACACTTGTTGGGCGCTCCTGTTGTACTTTGTGCCTTAGTGACGTAATGTAAAATTTCCTACGTCGGGCGTGTTTGAAAGGCTAGTGTGCCCTCAGTAGGAAAAGAAGGATTCACCACATAAGCGCCATCGCTCTATGGTTATATTACGTCCTTTGGGCCGTGCTTATCAGGTTCCTGGGGCTGCAAAATAGATCCAAATACGAAGGTACTTACCAGACGAAAATTATCATTTTGAGGAACTTTTAATTAATTATAATAAACTCAAGCTCTTATTGAGTTTGGAATATTAAACAATTTGAGAAGGCATATTTTGTGCATGTTTTGATAACTTGTTTTAATTAATATTAAAACTACGATTTCACCATAGTATAGTATAGTACAATATAATATAGTATAGTATAGCAGGAGATTTCAGGGTATATTGAATCCTATAACCTTAATCTCTCCAACCCTTATTATTTTTCTATAATTACCTTACTTGCTACCACGTAAGTATTTCGTGCAAGCCCCTTGTAACGATCCCCTCAGATGACTTCGTCAACCAACTTACTGGGTACTATTTACAGGGTGCATCGATTTTATTAAGTACACTCTAGCTATTATAAAGTTTAATGGAAGGATCTTTTTCAATAAACTTTTTACATCTGATAAGTGATTTTTTGGCATCCATAGTACTCATACTATCAAAAAAAGCATTAGAAAAAGTCTCGATAATTTTCGACGGGATTGCAATCCATAACCCCTCGAGTTTTTTGATGTGAAACATCTATTGGCGCGCTTGGGGGCTCGACCGACGCGATGAAGCGATCCGTACGATGGCACGATCTCCGGTTTAACTCGGCTCGGATCGGGTCTCTGTCTGTTTCTCCACGCTCTCACTGCCACTCCTCTCTCGTTTGTAACGTATACTACCCGTATATATAGCTATATAGATGAGTATATAATAAGTAAATATCATATATATGTATTGTACGAGCGCGCGGTGGCTCAGTCGGCTAGGTCGTGGATTAGAACGCGGGGAGACCGTGGTTCGATTCCCGGCCAGTGAGACTTTTCAGGCAAGTACCTGTGTGATTTTTCACATGTGCTTTTTTACCACGCAATAGTCCTCGAGGAGGGTTTAGGCGACCTTCTCGCAGCAAAATTGCCTAATTTCCCCCTACCCCCTGCTTTCATGGGAGGCCTTCCATTCCTCTTCCGTTCCTCCTCCCAAGTGCTAAGTGCCCATAGTAGTGCCTTTATATAAAAGGAGCCAGACGTAGAGCACTATAATATAAAAAAAAAAAATGTATTGTACATATAGCATTTACATACGTACACGTACATATTGTATGTTATAGATGTGTAAAAAAATTTTCAAATTTTACGGACTCCGAGAATCGAACCCAAATCGTGTGGAGTGGTAGTCAGGGATCTTATTGATTGTGCTACGCAGCATGCCGATCTGATCTATTCTTATTACTAATGGATACCAACCAAGAAACTTCTGAATTAGAAAATTCATCTATAATAGGGCTTTATATATATGTATATGAGCCTGCCGATTTCAAAAGATATAGTAATGATTATTTTTGAGTGGTCCAATGATATCATAATTATGTCAAATTGTGTTTGTAAGTTCGTTTTGCTTATATCTTTTAACGGTTTGATGTACAGAAAAAATAAAAATACCAGCGTGTAGGACGAAAAATGTTCGATCAACAAGCACTTTTAATTTTGTTTCAAGTAGCGAAAAATGTTTAGAAAAAAATGTAAAAGGCATTTTGGCAGTACCCGTAAAAGTTTACTCACTTATAAGTGAGATAGAGAGAGCCATTGATCGTCTGCTGTCGTGCTCGCTCTCTCTATTGCACTGATACAGGTAGGCCTTTTTCGTGGCTTTTTTAAAATATTTTGCGCATGTAGAAAATGATGAATTAATATTAGAATTAGTATCATTTTTTCATCATTTAACAAAATATTCTTCTCTGTAAACAGGATTATTTTAAAATAACAATATTTAACCATAATGCAAAGTTTTCCCGGGATCTTCGAATTAAGTTTATTCAAACTCCATTTTAACCCGTCTTTAACAAAGAGCCAATGAAATTCGCGCACGTGCGCAACGACGTACAGTGAACAGATATCCAAAAAGAGAAAGAGAGACAGAGAAAGCAATGAACCTGATCGTTTGTTAAACTAATGTATGTGTAGGTAGGTAGTATAGATATACTCTTTGCCATGTATTATTGTTCTTTCTTGTTCTCGTTGTTTCTATGTTAATGAACAAAAAAAAATTTAAACATAATTTTCTTTCCCCTAATCTCTAATATTCACTGATAAAAATACATATTTATAAATAAACTGTTTTTTTAATATAAAAATATGAAATTGAGATTATTCAGAGTAAAAAAAAAATACTTTTTCTGTCTCGCACGTTTCTGAGAGGCAGGTGTGCGCTTAGTAGAAAAAATAGGATTCGCCACATACGCGACATTACTCCGTGTCTGTCTTACGTCCTTTGGGCTCTGTTTCACAGGTCCCTCGGGCCGCAAAGTATCCCTGAAGACAACAGCACTTATCTGACGAAAACAACTATTTTTATTATAGACAATCAAATCCTACCGAGTTCAATAACGTATTCTTTAATTTTTCACATCTGTCGTGTGTCCCAAGACCCACACCTGGTTTTTTTTCGGCTAAGAGGTTACCATGTTAACTACTAAGCCATGGAGGTTATACCACTAAAAGAACTAAAAGACTTAAACATTAAAAGAATTTAAAGTTACAACATTACAAGAACTAAAAGACTTGAAAAATTCTACGACTATGTTTGTATAGTTATATCTGATTTTTCAAAGATATGTGCTACCGTTTATGTACTGTATTATGTATGTATTACTGTATTTATGCTACGGTAATGATAGATCAAGTATTTTGGCAAGTTAAGTTTATTTATTTATGCACAGATCATAAATGTAGTCTTGGTGTATATGGTGATTAAAGATTTCGATAAGGCTGACAAGTACACTAATTAGGTATATAACATATTTGAGTCACTCAATGTGTCGTGCAGAATTACTCTGACTTTAGTTATGACATGATTCAATTAGTATTTTTAGTTAAGTATATATTATTTAGCCGTTAACATTATGCTTTGAGCCGTTTCATAGATATAATATCTAATTGAATCTTAGCCTTTCTGTTTTTATATTTACCATCTTCATTCTCTTCACGCAAAACGTACTTCATAAAAAAGAGCCAAACGTATTTGAATCCATTCGGCATCTGTACTGTACGCTTTTCTCAGACATTGTACGAACATATAGAGTGTATTAATACGAGCACAAGTGTAAAATATAAAATTTATACATAAAAAATTTTTTTCATTATTTTGTTTGAATCAATGCGACAAAAAAAAGATTTCGATTTAAAAACATAAAATGTCTATCTCTTTACTTTAAAGTAATATATTTCAAGGTGTACATAAAAAAAAGTATCAAATAATTAGTTTTTACTTCATTCCTTTACTTTCAGGTTTAATCAAAAACTATTTGTATATTAAAAGGTAGGATAATAATAACCAAATAACTACAACTAAATAAGAGACAATATCCTGACATTAATTAATATAATCGCTTTCAAACGATGAATTTTCAAAAATACAGTACAAATCTAAAAAATACAATTAAAATTTTTTTGTATTTAATGACTATTAGAATGCACGATTGTTATACATTCGTTACTTAAATAAAAAACAATTTATCTGTGTGTGCTTACTTCCATGTTCACGCTCGTATGTACACATAAAACTATATATACATAAATGTGATTTTTATTGACAGTTTTATACTTTGTATTTTATGACTCATACTAAAAGAGTAGGAACGGGCTTTTTTCCAGGCCATGCTTCTTTTGCATACTTCTTTTTTTTCGGCTCCAATGAATTGTTATCCATAGAACAATAGGGTTCAGTTGTTTGCATCAATTTATTTTCAATTGGATTTGACGTTATTTCGACTTCAGGCGCTGGATTTGGAAAACCAATACCTAGTCTCGAAGTCAAAGACGTTAAGCCAGTTGTGTATAGATTACTTTGAGATATCGTAGAATACTGCTCTTGAGGTAAATCTGGATAAAAAGTTGAGGTCAGTGATGTCGGACATAAGTTTTTCAAAGATCCATGTATTTCTTCTAGAGGTGATATAAGTCCTCCTTCCATCCGCATTTTCTAAAAGTAAAATGTGTAAGTTATCAAGTTGTATCAAGCTTAAGTGTAACTATGTAAATTTAAGCTAGACCATGTGTCTAAACCTTTTTAGTGATACTACGTAAGGATATTTAAATCTTGTAACTTATAAGTGTGCTGAACGTTTATTTTAATCAACTATTTCATAAATTATAAGTAAAGGTTTCCTGATAGTAACAAATACAATAGCACTATGGGCTAGAAGAGATATCTATCTCCCTTTTGTAGAGCAGATGGGTACCTCATTTGATGTACCCAAACATTAGAAATCAATCTAATTTTATTAATGGGCAAATTCGTATTGGATGGGACGTGTCGATAAATTCAATTATTCGAGTTTCTTAATTGTTTTGTAAGGGTATGTTTATTGTTGTTTGTTGTTGTTTTGTATTGTACATACAATGTACGTGGATCAGAATATCCTTTAATATAAAAAACATGTTAATATTCTTTTACTTTTCAGCAAAGTTGTTTGAAACTTGTTTTATCGTAACGATGCCAATGAAGCTTTTTTACAATACATTTTTTATTTTGTTTCCTTTTGCTATGGTGGAAGCATTATCACTTAATTTAGAATCGAGAAAATTCTCCGAGTCGCTTAAGTTGAAAGGTATAAGATCATAAAGCGAGATATGTTATTGCTACTTCTGCTATGAATATTCTTGGAGTAGTGATTATCAAGCGTAAGTATGCTTGACCACAGCCTTTAGTTTGGGTGACAAAAATGTCTAGAAAAGTTATTTTTCTGGCTGGTACTTAATACACACGGTTCTGCCCAAAAGTTACTTATATTAAAGCTTAAAATATTGAAAAATTGGTAAAGATTTCAAGTTTTCCTTATTTATTTTAATATTATCTATAATTTGATAAAAACTTTATTGTTGAGTTGTAAATTATGACGTATCAAGCAAAGGTCCCCGCTGTTTGTTGTATGTCGTCGCAAATTTTCTTCTAAAAAAGATAGGGTTTCTGAAATTTCTTTCTAGTATTAAAGCTCTCACATCATCACAAAGTCTGGTTTGCTCTTTAGCTAGAATGAAATTTTCTAGTATTTTTTTCTTACTAAATACAGTTTGTAAAGATAAGACATAAGAAACGTGATTTTTGTCAAATGCTAGCTAATCCATCGTGTGGTGTCCACAAAATTTCGCGCAAGGACCGCTCCAGTACTATTTAAGTCTTACGTAAGTCTCGCGCAGTACTGCTTAAGTTCCGCGCAAGTCCCGCTCAAATCCCAGGCAAGTTCCACACAAGTCCTGCGCAAATTTTGTATAAGTCATGCTTAAGTCTCACTTAGGTACCACAAAAGTGACGGTTCACTGCATGTCATTTGTGTATTACACACGGCATCTTATGCACTATGACCTTTTATTAATTTTTTCGTTAACTTAACGTATCCTCGAAAACTAAAAACGTTCTTTTTATTAAAGAGTATTACCTCATACCTAAAAAATAACTGTATTTTAGTAGAATTTTTTTGTTGCAAATAAAATTTTTTACTAACAATACTTAATGATAAACAAGGTAACTGTCCATGAGAGACCATGTTTTCACTTTAGTTAGTATTGATATTTTTTCCCATGCAGATGGCACTGTTTCTAATTACTGCTAACAGTGGGTTGAGGGACAGTGTAGTGGATGGGCCGCCATATTCAGGACTCTACACAGTAACTGTATATTTGTGTATATCATTCACATTACTAATATACATCGATGTATGTGACTTAAACTTATGAATCTCACAGACATTAAACTCCAAGTCAGTGATTGGTTGATTAGGATTGTGTGCGTGTTTGTCCTGAATATGGCAGAGCCAATTGGGAGAGGCTTCCGCATCTGCCACGCTGTTCCCTGATTCATTGTAATACTGCTCGAAGCGGATACATGAGTTGTTGACTAAAACAAACAGTACTTTAGTAATTAACAAAAAATATCATGTAAGCAATTTTAGCCAGTCATTGGCCTAATATCCTTATCTAATTTGCAGAAAAAACGACTCAAGTGTTTAATTATGGTACAGTTTTTTAGGTACTGATTTCATTAAAAAGTCTTTCCAGAAGCGGTAAGGATGCATCAAAGCACAAGAAGAGATCAACTAATAGCTTCCTCAAATCAATAAGGTTTGGAACTACTTTTTATCAAATTAAAAGTATTGATTGATTTAGTTTTAGTCAGATTGATAGTATTTTTCTCTTTTTCTATAGTACTCTGCTATTCAATTTAATTTAATACCTTGGTGATAGTCTCTGCAAGGAATGTAAGATCAAATCTAAGAGTTAAATCTGAAAAGGAAAATATTTAAAAACGCTTATAACAAATGTACAATAAGTCATAAATTACTTTATAACTATTTACTGCAATATTGGTTCTATTTGACACGGCATTTTTAATGCAGACTAATTGACATATCATTATGCACATAACCTCAAACTTTTTAATTTTTAAAATGTACATTATGGATGAATTATAGACTAAAACGACAAATTTTGCAGTAAATACTTACCAAACAATTTTTTAGTCTATGTTTGTTTCATTGTAAACGTTTTATTATTATTTTTACAAATTCTACTATACAAATTTCTCGTTTGTGAAGGATCTTCATATTAGTTCCAGCCACTAGTGGTCTAATATCCTTATCTGAGATGCAGAGACTACGATCGAAGCATTTAATTGTGATAAACCTGTGTAAATGACAAAATACGATAGAAAAAGCAAATATCATTATAAATATAATAAGAATATAAATATAATACAAAAGTTATTCTAAGTTGCGTTAATTTAAAAAAGGTATTGGTATATCTTTTCTTGAGCTTTGATTAATTTTTACCACTTCTAAAATGCCTTTATTAACAATACTGGTACCATAAAAGCTTTGTCACAATTAAATATTTCTGTTGTTACCTCTGCAACAATATGTACGTATTGTATGTCTATTACATATGCCAATGATGTAAGGAGACCTTTTTTTAAATGACAACATGTGGAGCAGACACTGTTACACGTATAACCTTTGCCTCATGTAACCTTAAAGCAGTTATAGCAGGAACACTTGCACGTACACATCGGTCAGGTATAGTTGCTAACAAAATCTTGCAAACTTACTGACTCAGCCCAATGACAATATTTAGGGGTACTTTGGAATGTGTTTTTAATTGCTTCCTATTTAGAAACTATTTGACCTAAAAAATTAATTTTAACGGGGTATACTTTACAAGAAATTTCTCGATGCAGTATTTTTTGAAAATATCACCGTTACATATCAGTCTGAATAGTTAACAAATAAATATATAGATTTGTACTAATAATCATATTGATAGGTTTACTTCAATGCTTTGTGATTAGTAGACATTAAAAGCCAGTATTGTAATTATTTGAAACTTTAAACTCTTATTGTTAGAAAACAAAACAGTTGTTTCCACAAGTAAGCATATATATGTGTGTGCCTGGTGTCTTATATAATTTTAACTGCCTTGAATTATGAAGACTGCCCTGGACAAAACCGTTTTCGTTAGGCAGCGTTTACCGTATAATCAAATGCACGAAAAAATGTACAAATGTATTATATTTTTGAGCATGTGTAACTATAAATAATTATAAATAATTTAAGAAATAAAAAAATGTAATCACGTAAGAGAAAAACTGTTACTATAATTTACTCTGTTCCTACTGGAAAATTAATTTCAATAACAATTTTTTATTGAAGATTTTGAAAAAGATTAATACAATAATGTTTCATTCCAGCTAAATTAAATTTCCAAATTTGAAGAAAACTCGAAAAAAATTTTAAAAAGCCTTCGAAATACTTGAAACAACATCTCGCGATTAATGTGCTACAACCATACATTTTTGTAATGAATTAATTGTTCTAGGAGAAGATTTTAGACATATTCTTTCAGTATCAAAAAATACTAATAAAAGCACGATTATTAAAAAAGCATTAAATAAGTAATAAATCTATAATTCATGGGACATTGTTTCGTATTCTAAAACTTAATATTAATATTCGTTTATTCTTAAAGCTTTTTTCAAACCATTATTAGATATTGAAGTCGGAAAATCATTAGAAGTACCAAATAAATGGAAAACAACTGACGTTTATTCCAATATTTTTGTTGAAGATATTGACTTTTCAATAAATAACGTTATACTTACTTCTTATAATAATTATACTTACTTTTCGAATAATAAAATTATAAATCATGTAAAAGAAGAAATAAAAACATATTGAAGTAAAGATGATGCTATTTACAAGGGTATTGATTAATCTAATAGTGATATTCGTGTAAATTTTCTAAGTGTATTTCTTAAAAATTTGGTGGAGGGTAATCTCTACATGAGTCTAATTTATAAATTGCAACAAGTGGTATAATAATACAAAAAATGGCAATTAAACTTATTGAGAATTTAAAATACAGAAAATCAGCGTGCCATAGCATTACCTCAAGGGTGATGTGAGAATATGTTAACAGATTATATAGATAAAATAATAATCAAGAGAGCGGTGGAAAGTGGCTGAAGCAGTCAATAACAAATATTAAAGCGTTGCTCAGACAATGTGTTTAGAAATTGTGAGGGGTCTGAGGTGAAACACAATTTTACTTTATTTAGAGATGCAGCTGAAAAGTGGACGGAGGGAGTTCTTTAAAATTATGAGGGCGGCTTTTTGGGTTACCTGATTATCATGTTATATAATTGTGAGAGGAGAGGACGGAAGGGGCAGAACAAAAATTCAACCAAATAATAAAAAGGTAAAAACTGATAGAATTTTATCTTATTAAAAGGGTGGCTGAGGAGGTGGTGGGGATCCGAGAGGGGGCTCTTTAAAATCGAGCGGCTGGCTAAGGGGGTGAAGGGGCGGTTAAACAAAAACTTAACCCGATAAAAATGAGGTAAAAACGAATAGAATTTTACCTTATTTAGAAGGGAGCTGAGGGCCGTTGTGTGGAAGGACCTAAAATCACTATATATACACACAAACTCAG